AAGAGAGGCGGCGACACGGGGGGGGGAAAAGGTTGTTAGCCACTTGGCGGAACGAATGCAGCGTGTTGTATTGTACCGTGTGTCCAAATCTGGGACGCGACGGGAGAGTTCGAGCGGTTGGACAAGAAGGGGAAAGAAAATCAGGAGATCTTCGCTGCGGAGGACGGAAGGGGGAGGGGAGGAGAAGTGAAGTGTGTGTGTCTGGCAGAGATCAGCCACGCTGGCTCTGCCCGAGGTTCGATCGGGGTAAGTTTCCAGAGGTGGGAAATCAAGAGAGCGAGTGGAGAGAGCAGACAGAACGAGGGGAATAAAGAAGGCTGGCTGGCTGGTGGAATGAGTGAATTACGGAACCCCGAGGGATGTGCTGCAAGAGATGGATGACCTCCCTTCCCACCCCCCCTCTTTTCTGTGCAGGAGGTTGAATGAGGAGTTGGTTGGAATCGAGGAAAATAGGAGGAGGATGACGAAGACTCGATCTACGCAAACCCAACCATGATCAATCTCTGGGGAGCTAAGTGAATAATAATAATAAGCCCCGGGGGCCAACCCTGGAAAACCGCGCAGACAGACTCCAGCAACAAACCAGAAACGATGATTAATTGAAGTATACATACATACATACACATGCAAGTGAAAAAGGGTCTTGCTCAGGCCCTGTCTAGGGAAATAGTCACGCTGCAATCACCCGAGTCAGCCACCACCGTGAGCTTTATTTATTGATCGAAGAGCCATGCTACGGGTGTTGACGCTGTTGTGCTTCTGTCTCTTTGACCGCGTCAAGTGCTGCTCGTATTTGCATGATCTACCCTTACCCGGCCCCGTTGACCATCAGTTGGCGGCTTAGCGTGGGTGCTGCTGTTCAAGACCGAGGGAGGGAGGGGTCTGCAGATAAACATTAAGTTACCCATTTTTTGTCAGGTTGTTCAGCTGAGAAAGAAAGCCGAGCTGATTTCCAACTAACCCGGTCCAGGAACAGGGAACGGGGAACAGGGAACAGGGGACCGTACCCACTTTCTGGAAGAAACCTTGGAAATGTCAGCAGCCCTGTTTCCCCCCCTCTCTTCTTCTCTCTCAGATAAGAATAGTGGTGTATATGTAGTTAAACGTGGCGGCGTTTATTTCCCCTTGGGTCTTGGGTCAGAGTGGTTGAGATTAGTTGTCTAGGTTCAAGTCAAATCCTTGGAAATCTGAACAGGTTGTAAGGTAGGTGGTAGGTGGTTTACCGAAATACGATGGCATTCTGAACATTTATAGAGGAAAGCGAGCGGTGAGAGAGGGGGGAAGCGGGGAAAATACAAGATAGAAGTTATTCCGTCAAAGCTCTCTGTCGATGAACAAAAATGCATTTTTTTTAAAGAAAAATAAGATTGATTGGATATCTCTATATGCACTGTGCCCACCAGTTGGCCCGTGAGAGTCCAAGAACCGAAGCGAAGAGGAGAATGGAAGCGGGGAAAGACAAAGGATATGTACAGGCGTAGTCGTGGGAAACAGTTAACGTTAATCAACGGTCATCACAAAACAGACAAGACCGGCGGGGAATGGTAAACGATATGCAGGAGGTTATGCATAGATTCTCCTCTCGACTCCTCTCTTCTTCTTCTGTACATGTATATTTTATATGTAACCAGGACCGACAAAAGAAGCATTGACAAACAAACCACCAAAAAGTTACAACAAGGAGCAGGAAGAGAGATGGAGATGAAAAATGAAGACAAGATACTTCAAAAGTGTTAAGACCATAAGCAAAATTCCCAGTGGATAGACGCTCCATATATGCCGTGGCGGGGGAAAATGAGGAAAACGCAAAATGTTAGAAGACACGACAATTACAATTGTTCATCACACAAAACCAACAGAAAGAAAATATATATAAAAAAAAAAAAAAAAAAAAATTACACAAAAGCCCGTTTACTGCGCAGCCCGTGTCATCGCCAACCCCCTCGCAGCCCCCACCGCCGCCGAAACTGGCGTAACAGACCGCGGGGGCACCGCACTAGGCGTAACCGTCGACGCTGCGCCTGCAATCGACACTGCACTCCTGTTGTGCGCCATGTGCGCCCGAACAAGATGCCCCGCTGCCAACGCACTGCACAAACTCAATTCACCTGCCAGGACAGCAGCAGCGATGATGCGGGCGAGCTGTCGAGCATTATCACCTGGATTGGTGGGGTGTGCGCCGCGGACGCCGAGGAGTTCGAGCATGGCCGATTGAGCTTCGAGGATGGTGCCGCCGCCTATTGTGCCGACTTCGATGGAAGGCATGGAGACGGAGATTTGGAGGTTGCCGTTTACGCTGTTGTGGTATGGTTAATGGGGTGTTGAAGGGGTCTAGATGTCGGGTTGGGTTGGGGGGTGACTGAGGGAACAAGGAGAACTCACTTCTTCATAATGGTGATGCAATTGCTACTCTCGACATTCTGCGCGGGATCCTGGCCCGTCGCAATGAATAATGCGGTCACGATATTCGACGCATGCGCATTGAACCCACCAATGCTCCCCGCCATGGCGCTCCCGATCAAATTCTTGCTCGTATTCAGCTCGACAAGCGTCTCGACGTCGCTCTTCAGCACGCCACGGACCACGTCGGCGGGTATGATCGCTTCAGCAACGACTGCCTTGCCCCGTCCCTCAATCCAATTGACAGCTGCAGGTTTCTTATCGGCACAGTAATTCCCCGAAATGGATACGACAGTCATGTCGTCGAACCCCGCTTCCGTGGACATGACCTGCAACGCCTTCTCGACACCCTTGGATATCATATTCATACCCATTGCATCGCCCGTCGTGGTTTTGAAACGGATGTATAAGTTTGTGCCGGCCATGGCTGTCTTCATCGACTGCAGTCTCGCAAAGCGGCTCGTGGAGTTGAATGCGTTTTTCATTACGGCTTGTCCTTCTTCAGAATCTAGCCAGACTTTCGCTGCACCTGCTCGAGTCAGCGTTGGGAAGCTAACACAGGGTCCGCGAGTCATGCCATCGCCTGTGAGTACAGTAATAGCCCCGCCACCAGCGTTGATTGCTTTGCAGCCTCGACTTGTACTCGCAACAAGAACACCTTCCGTTGTAGCCATGGGGATGAAGTAGCTTGTTCCATCGATGACGAGCGGTCCTGCGAGGCCTAATGGGAGTGGAAGATAACCGACGACGTTTTCGCAGCAGGCGCCATGGACGAGGGTGTAGTTGTAATCCTTGTACGGGAGCTTGCAGGACTCGAATGAGCTGGTTAGTTCAGCTGTTAATGGGTTTCGTGAAATGACGGCTCTTCTGATTTTCACTGCGCGTGTAAGTGCGTCGATGCGGGGGATGCTGGAGTCTTCCATCGTCTTTTCGAGGGCATAGCCAGGGATCTTGCCGCGGAGGGACAGATCAATTAATTCCTCATCCGTCAAGAAGGGGGCCAACTTCTCCTTGAGCAGCTTCTCGCACTCCTCGCGTGTTCGAAGTGTGCCATTCACCTTAATTTCCTCTTTCCTCTGCTCCTCCTTATGGTCGATTTTGGGCTCTTTCGGAGTGTGACTAACTGTTTCGGGCTCTTTAATGCTCCACCGCGCAGCGTTGAAGAGGTAACCGTTAAGAATAACACTGAGAGTTAAAGCGGCGATAATCCACTTGCTGATGATTGGATCATCAAGGCTCTTCAGCAGGCTTTCGATAACTTTACCCCCAACAGCATCCAAAAATTGATCTGTATATTCAATGTCAAAAATTCCGCCTTCCTCCGCTTCCGCATAGTGCACAGAGGGGTATTCGAGATTGTATTTGATAGGTGCTAATACAGTCACCACAGTTTCTTGCTGCTTGCTCTTTGAAGCGACGTAAATCGAATCAAGGCCGTTCTCCGCAACTTTAAACGGATCGATTGGGGCAGGCGATAAGACGTTGGTGATTTTCGATAGTGCGGGGAAAAGAAGTCCATCCTGACGATTTCGGAAAGGGAGCGTGCACAGGTTGAAAGCATTGACAAGCACGAATCCACCCACCATCAAAATCTTGAACTTGGGGACACTGCTCGCCTTGACCTTCTTGCCAAACACCCCATTCGTACTTCCCCGGCTGTCTCCATTTGCTCCACTCTCATCCGCGTTCATGCGAGGCCAATCATTGCTAGCTGCCACACTCTCCGCGACGTAGCGGGTAATACCATCCTCTTCCAACGCCTTGCGAAGAGCAACATGTCGCTTGATCCGATTGATCTCCAGCTTGATGCAGAGGATCGTAGTGTAAAACGTGAAGAGCAGGACACAATCAAAGAACAAAATCCATGCAGCAAGGAAACAAAACTGTCTTAGACCGCCTTGGACACCAGATGCGGCACCAGCAACCAGAATGGCAATTTCAATACAGTAGTCACGAACGATTTCGAAGCCCTTTGATTTGATGGCGAACTGGATAGCGTCCTGGATGGAGTGTGGTGAGGAGGGGGGAACAGTAGCCGCATTCGAACCTACTTGCCTTGCGGGTGTTTGGCGACGCGTGTTCAGGGAGGCTGAGAGGACTGCCTTTGTTAGAATGATGGGCTTTTCGAATCCGATCGTAACCACTAGGAAGGGGAGGCCCTCTGATAAGAGAACCATGTTGATGGTGACGCCAAGTTTCGTGGTGACGAGGAGGCCAAAGAGGAAGGCAAATGCCCCAGAGAAAAGGACGGTGGTTGCAAGCCAGAATTTGGAGCCAAGGCGTCTCATGGAGAGGAACAGGGAGACAAAGGTAAGGTGCATAGATATATAACCGAGCACCATGATAATGATATCGACGGTTTCCGCATGCTATGACAAAATATATGTTAGCAGTAGTTTCAAAAACATTATATGGTTGATAATCCGCAGCGCTGCGTTGCAGCATACCTTCAAAAGATCAACAAACGAATTCCACGCATCAGTCAACCAGATCCGCAGTGCACGTCGCGACCCCGACCCGGAGCTACGAGCAGCTTTCATGATCCATTTTTTCTGCTCGCCACCGTCCTGAGCATCCTGAGACTCTGGTATTTCCTGGGAAGCTTTCAAGAAATCTGATATCTGCTCATAGGGCACCGCAAATGCCAGGGAAGAATCATGGGAGATGGGGGAGAGCAAGTTGGGGGTATGCGGGATAGGAAATGCGGAGCAGTTAGCGGGGCATTGGACGTTTTCTGCAACGGGAGCTGTTTTCGGAGAACGTGATGACGAGTCTGGGAATATGAAAGTTGTGAGGGCAAGATGCTGTACAGCCTGCACAGTTAAAATGGGGAAATAGTTAGCATCGTTCCCTAAAATGCTGTAGACATAAAATTGAAAACAAGAAGAAAAAAAGCTCCCCTACCTCATTCCCCTCAACCTCCGCAGTATCGTCAACCTGCCATCTCCACCCCGTCGCCTCTCCCAGTCTCAAATTCCTCGCCCCCTTCAACAACGGCTCAACATCCAGCTGACCGGGACCCGCACCCACGTCCCTCACCGCATCGAACAAGCTGCCCTCCAGCAACCCAACATATGTCGTACTGGCAAGCACGGCGATTACCACTATGGTATGAATGGGATGCAGACATGCTCTGCGAGACACAGCTTGCAGCCCTTGTGTCAAGCGGCGATTCAGCCATCCGGCGTCAGCCGAGTCTGCGGCATTGACGTCGCGGAAACGCTGGGGGATAAGCCAGGAGCCTCTCATGACCTTTCAGGTAGCTTTTTTTAATTGAAAAGAAAATTGGAGGAAGAGCCAACGTTATAATCCCGGAGTTGAGAGGGGGCGGATACTGTGACACGGGTATTGGTGTAGTTGTGCGGAGGGGGGAGACGGGATGATAACGAGGCTGTCTTATCTATCTAACCATCACTCCCGCGAACATTGGGTATGAAAAATGGTAGATTCGGAAAGACCGGATGAAAGAGGGAATGGAATATGGATATTATCTATTGAAGAGTTTGGTGTTAGAGGGTTCATTGGTTCAGTGATGGTTGAAGGACAGTAATACTGCCGGTACAGTACATGTAAGGGGGTGTGAGCCGTTCATGTTCTCATACTCACAAAAGTGATTCTCCCAGGATAATATCCCAACGACAGTAGTGTAAACTGGAAAACCAAAGGTGAAAGAGAGAATACCCACGCGAAAATAGCCCGATTAAGGCTGTTGAGGGAGGGCTCGAAGAAAGGAGAAGCAAGGGAGAAACGGACGACTGCGTAAGCCGAAAAATACACAATACAGGATGCTACGTAGCCGGGTATGAGACAATTACGAGTCACGATAAAATATTTTTAAGAAAAGGACAAGCGGAAGAGGAAAACGGAATCGAGCAGGGTTATTAGGAACAATCCGCCAGAGGATTGAAACCGAGTCCTAGAGGGAGTCTCGAAGAGGGAGAAATCGCAGAGGAGGAGGGGGGGAAGAATAAAGTAGTTTTCCTTTTGTGGCGAACGTTAAATCCGTAAACCGAGAAAATCGCTTGTTTGGGTGTTGCTTTTTTGGACCTTTTTTATTTTTCTTTTCGGCTCCGCTCCTCTCACAATGTCAGGTCCCTCAAGCAGAACAACCTTAACCCCGGCTGCAGGCTGCAGGTCACCACTAACACTGCTGCAAACTACTGTCTTGCATCAACTATGGACGGCTAGTGACGCCTAAAGCACTGAACCCAGATCCAAGGGAGTTAATGGTTAAACCCACACAAAGTTAGCCTTCTCTCTCCAGGGCTGTTAGGGCCGTAAAAACGACTTTTAGGGGTGAAACCTGCGGAAATTGGAAGGGGAGGTGCTTCCAAGGTTTACCTTGGCGGCACGCAGGTCACCTATTGGCTCCTCTGGCGGAGATCGGTGTTATATAGCCAATAGTATCGGAGTATGCCTCACCGCCATAAACGCGCTAGTCCTGTTAGGAGATCTGCAGGCGGATTATCCGGTTGTTCCGGACCGAACTGCGGAATATTTGTGCAGCTTGCGTGGATCAAGTTTTTCCTTTTTCGATTCTGCCCAAACCTTCCGCGAGCTCCGTTTCTTGCAGGTTGGGTTTCTTTGAACGGATGGGGATGTTTCAAAGGAGGGGTGAAGGAGAATGCGAACTGAAATTGATTCCGGTGCAGTGGGACATTGTTCTTTTACTTTTCGCTATATTATCCTCCTCATGTTCCAAGTACTTGTACATATTGTTGCCCTGCCAGATAGTTACCCTGGCTGCTGGCCAACTCTCTGCAAGACTGCAAGGATATCGGCACGCTTGACGCAACCGTCCACGAAACATTAATTATACTGGACTGAAGGAGCTTAGAGCTCGCCAATGCCCCAGAACCTGCCGCATCCCAGATATGGTGATGTATCGAGTTTCGCCTGTTGCTGATCTTTTCGGGAAGTTCTCCTTCAAACTTGATTTCTATCTAGGGAATTTCCTCCTGTCCATAACGGTTGTTCTACTAATCTAGGTACCTATATACCCCGTGTCTATTAACGTATGATGTCATGGCGGCTCACAGTGTGCTGTCATTCTGGGCAGCTATGTACCTTCTCCCAACTTATACGTACCAATTTACCTGGGTCTACTTCCTCTTACGACATTTCTCTTCTTGTATATGATGCAACGTAGTGCAACCGTGGACCACAGCATCTGCACAGGACCCTGCATCTTGCTTTTCTTGAGGCTTTTCTATTCTGGCCAAACCATCAAGTCGCGGTCATCCTGTGCAATAATTAATATATTTTAAAGCTAACTTAAGTGACATTGTCCCAACCCGGTGGGAAACAACGCAACTATATATGTACCAAGGTATTGTTGTATGTCAATATCTCATAATTGTTCCGCAGCGTTGGGAGGATCTGGGGCCCAGGCCCACGACTCCACGAGGCCTGATATACATTTCGTTTATATCGTTGACTTCCGTCATACCCTGCCATGCCATGCCATGTGGTGACTGCAACGGAGATCCGATTTCTTTGTATCAGCCTGTGGCTGGATCTGGCAGTTTGCAAAGTTGTTGTGAGCAGGATTTCACATGTTGCATGAGAGCAGTAAATTTGATCTACTTTACACTAGATTATTGTATTTATGCTCAACATGTTTTCGGTTTGATGCTGAATGTTCCGATTTGTTTTTTTGCTATTTCTCCGCAAGTGAGATCCTATTGTCTCTTTATGTCAAGTGTGGGGACAGGATAGACAATACCTACCTTGGTTGACATTTCTGAAAACGGCTGCATAGGTGCTCCGGATAAGTAGCCAGAGTCTATTCCATCCGACCTAGCTGTCTGGCAGCTGGCCTGAGTCTGGAGCCAAAGCCAGAGTCTGATAGGGGGAAGCCAACCTCGGACAAGCGAAGGTACGGAGAAACATCCTCGAATATCACATGCACGGAATGATCCCTTTTAAAACCATTGGAAGATACAAATCTCATTTATTCTTACGATGTATTAGATCCATCGTCCCATCGATCATCCGGCCATCTCTAGACAGGTCTGTCGATGGTCTCTGGGAGCGGGTATTTACCTAGGCACCTGCGTATCTTTTGCCGTCTCCTCCCCCCTCCCCCCTCCTCCACTCAACTCCTCTCTTTTCTCTATATCCAGCTCTCCCCCACCCCACTTGGGATCGAACAAGTCAACTAAACCTGATATATTCCGGGGACATTTTCCCCATTTCCCCTCCCTTGTCCCCATTAACTACTCTGTGTTACATCATAACCACTCCGCGTCTCTCACCTGAATCAGCCCCCTAGTTGCACACAATGCGTGTACTGTGCATTCACAGACACAAAGCACAAACAAATCACAATCCCAGCATATCATCGTCTACAATGCACCCCTAGAATCTCCCTGTATATACCAGAATATCTCTTCACAGAGGTGTGGGGAATTTCTGTCATGTACATATGCAAACTGGTTGTTGTAAGTACAATCTCATTGAGTCGCTAGTCTGCAAGATGACTTGCCGCAAACGGTTACCTGGCCCTCTCCCTCAGCCATCCGGCACTGCAGGAGAACGGCTCTGTTGTGTATCTTTAGAGGTGAAAAGGTCATATCAGCTGGGTGAAATTTACTGGCTGTCCTCGTGATGACAATGGAGATGGAGAACGATGCTAGCTCACAGATTTGTCTGATATACCAGTGGATAAGTACAGCGAAATGACGAGGTATTCGCTGGGACAACGAACGAACAGGGCTCGTTCACATGAATACTCCGGGTGCGGTGGTCTACTTTGGATAGATAATGACTCGAGCAGACAAACCCATAAGAAGAGTCCTTTGTTTTTGGGAGAGTCTTCTGGATCCTGGATCAAGTAACTACCCAAGTAACTATGCATCGTTTTTGTCAAGGTTAGGAGATAGTCAAGCAATCCCGTGGTTCCTACCGCCGGAATCTCGTCATTTAGGATACGGATAACATAGCCATATAATATCTCCTGGAGTGAACAGGGCAATAACTTCTTGCCCTAGCCAAGCCCTCAATGTTGCCGTTTCAACCGGCCGTTGGTTTTTCCCTCCTTGAGCAGGTTATCTGCCCAATTATATGGCTACTCTGACGTATATTTAAATAGTTACCAAACAGTATTAGGTAGGGATCTCCCCAGAAACCCCGCTGCATCGACTTGATAAACTGGGTAACTATATTTGTCCCGGTTGGTGAGTTGACTTTGAATCATGTCATCCCTCAGACGCTCTAATAGTTTTGTCTTTCAAGACTGACCTAAAGGATCCCTCTCGACAAAGCAATCGTAATTCTCTTTGCAGCTGTTTCATTTTAACCTGGTCGTAGGTAGCCAAGAACCTAATTTAGGGTGTTTCATGCCACAACACCCAAGCCACTTCGGCTCTGAGCCAGTCGGCGTCGTTCCTGACCGGCGAGCATGCTGGTTTGGAACAGACCAACCCAAAACTTCTCTGGCAAAACAGCAACGCTTCCAACTCCCTCTTCAAAAGTCTTGTCGTTTTCAACACTAATCAGTGGCAGCAAGCAACAGCAAATGACAGCAAGAAATAGGGTAAGTGTCATGGGCCTTTTCAGACTGACCGGTCCCTGGTTATTTTCATTGCGAGGCAAGTTATCCACGTGAACCCTGTTTGTCGCTGGCAGTCCAAACAGCGACGCGCGCCAGACTCTTCCAGGGCAAAGAGAGTGAGTGAGTAAGAGATTTCACGCGCTAGAAGAAAGCGGTAACTCCCCAAAAGTGAATGAAAAGGTAAAAAATAATGAAAAAAAAAAGAAAAAAAAGAAAAGAAAAGAAAAAAGAAAAGAAGAAAATGATCATCATCACTGACATTTAGTTCCATGCAGTGGATCCCATATTGCTTGGAGAGATTCCCGCCGTCGCACCTCCAGGTGTCTTCCTTCTATTATTATTGACCCCGTGGAACAGGGCGCGTTATATATATCTCGGGCGGCTCGGGAAATGAACGCATCTTACCTCCAGGACTCGGGCGGCGTTTGAAACGCATTTCCCCCTTTGCTCTTCCTCGAAACCTAACCCTCGTCATTGTGCATTGTTTGGTTGCACGCTGTCCTCTAGCAATCTATTGGCTAGCATTTCTCCTTTGCTAGCAGAGTGCTCCTGGATGCTATAAGGGGGATTTCTCCCCTGCTCTAATACTATTGAGAGCCCTCTCATGAACTCTCTGATGTATCATGACTGTCTCGTTGTACTTGGGCGTTTGGGTGTTTGGGTGTTTGGCAGATTTATTGGATCTCACATATATATTCGTCCTCAGTGAAATATTTTGGGGATACTGCTTTTCTCTCATATTTTCTTCCCTTGTTTTTTTCCTTCCTCTCTCTTTTCCTTCGGTTATTTGGTTGCATTTCTTTCCTTCTATTTATTTTGCTCTGCCTTGGTTTTGTCAATGGGCAGGGGGAAACTTGACAATGAATCCCATTGTTAAACCCACCCATTTTTCCCTATATAATTTAATTGCCTATGACAGGCTCTTCCCTCATGCTGTGAATGAATGGAATGAATGAATGAATGACTTTCTAACCAAGTGTTTTAAGCCCCTTGTACTTATACTTTTATCATTCAACTTTCCTATCACACTATTTTATTTATTTTCAACATTCTAGATGAACGTTACCCCTTACCTTCATCCCCATTCATTGAAGGATATATTGAAATATGTTCATGGTAAGTTCCGTGATAATGTGCCTAAAATGGTTTGCCCCAATACAAATTCCATCACCCGCCTTCCGCCATCCATAGAATTGTGCTTGGTTTTATGCTTCTCTTCTGCTGCCATTTGCATGTTTTGCTCTTCTTTGCTCGATGTGTCTTTTCATTCCCAGCGCTCGCTGACACTGGTAGAAGCATCTATTCAAATCTCTTGACATCGCTGGCCGTGTCTCTCTTCAATCATCATCATCATCATTATCATCGATATCGATATCAACATCCACTTCAGCATCACCAGCGTTTTGCTATACGCCAACGCCCATTTCTTTGGCGTCACTTACTCAAACTGTATATTCTCTTCTCACGTATCGACCAAAAGAACACGCGGAACCACGATCGCTATGCGCAAGCTGCAATCAATATTAGCCTTGACGGCCAGTGCTCTTTACCTTTTCCCAACCATTGCGGGGCATAGTTGGGTTGAGGATCTCACCTTGATCGCGCCAAACGGTACCTTTACGGGCCCTCATGGTTATTCTCGTGGATTTGCTCCTCGCAAGGAGGGCTATAAAGATGCATTAATGAAACATCAACTACCTCCCGAACGGGCCCTATTACCTGGCGAAGCAACAGCTGGGATCCTCCCCAACGACACTATGTGCAAGGAATCTCAACTCGAACCAATTCAATCTGATGGATTTCCGCGTCTGAAGGCTCCACCAGGAGCACCAATCGCATTGAGATATTTAGAGAACGGTCATGTATCTTTTCCAAATACCCCTGAGGGCAAACCTCATGGAGGTGGCAAGGTTTATGTATATGGTACGACACAGCCCCGACGCAGGGAAACATTTTGTTCAATTCACAATGTCTGGAACAAGGAGGGAACTGGTGGTGATCGTAGGGGAATGCTGCTTTCAGTGCATAACTTTGATGATGGCAGATGTCATCAGATAACCAGCGGAAGTCCAATTTCAAAGCACCGACAAAACCAGTTCTCTTACAGAATCAACGGCAATAATGCAGAACTCTGGTGTCAACACGATCTCGCTCTTCCACAAAACGCCCCCGTCGGTAAGCCATACACACTCTACTGGGTATGGATCTGGGACACTATGCCTAATATAGACCCGAATGTGAAGTCGGGCAAACAAGAGACATACACGACCTGTCTGGATGTTGACATTATCGCACCGTCAGGCGATCTGAAGGTGGCAGCTAAGGGAGAACTGCCTATGTTGAAATATGTTCAAGATCAAGATGTTGGCTCGGCTGCGATACCATCCCAGTTTGAGAACCTTAAAGCTCCGATTATTCCTGGCTATTCGAGCTCAAATCCTCCAGCTTTAGAGAAACCAACGTCAACTACTAGAGCGCCAGCTCCATCGGCTTTTAAACCTAAACCTGAGCCTGAGCCAGAGCCAGAGCCAGAAGATGACGATTGTGACACCCCTTCCACGACTGTTTCAGGTGAGTAATGACACGGTATAACCGCGAATTTGACATTCTTTTCCGTTTTTTTCTCCCTCTATTCTTCAACACCCTCCAGCAGCCAATGAGTCTCTAACCATTTACTGCGTCTCAGCACCTCAAACACCCTCTAAGACCCCATCAAATTCAAGACCCGCCATCATCCCTTTGTTTGCTTCTACATCATCCTCAGCAACTGCTACAGCGTCCATCTCTTCAGCATCTCCTGATTCTGCCTCCACAAGCAACAATGGTGGCGCCATACGTACGACCTTTCGAATGACCTTCGGCTCGATTGTGAGGGGCGGTTCTGCTACAGCTAGCTCCTCACCAACAACCGTCCCTGAAACAATTTCTACGAAATCACCTGAGGATGCATTTAGAATCATCTCCTCTGCTAATATTTCACCGAGCCTTTCATCTTATCCCTTGCTCATTTCTGGAATTAATTTCGGACCAGCAACTGCAATAACTGTTGCTGCCCCATTCCCAGCCACATATGAAGTTGTTGCGCCCAGTCAAGCCTCCCCACCAGACTCAATCTCAACATCTAGCGAGAACGATGGATTTGTAGTCTCTCCAATAACTCTGGGTGACGATGGATTGGTAGTACATTCCACCACAAGCACCACAGCACCACTCACCCCCAAAACTACAGCTCTCCGTAGCACCACAACTATAACTATATCTTCCACTGCAAGTGCCACAGCACCACCCAACGAAAAAACTACAACCATCCGTGTCACTAGCACCATAACCATATCCTCCACAACCACCCAACCACCCCAATCAACAGCAACATGTCCAGAATCCAACCCACCCGCCACCATCCTATTACCTTCCCGTTTGCCCAGTAGTAACAATGCGTCGTCTAATATACCTTCTAACATTCTCCCAACACAAACAGAATTCT